GAAAAATTATCTCTGGGTGAAGATTAAAAAAAAAAAAATGGTGTCTCATAGATGAGTCCATGACAAGAGTAATGGCTGCTGCAATTTACTTAAAAAGGGACACTTATTGGCAAGTGTCCAAAAAGGCCAAAAACAAAAAGCCAAAAATACTCTAAAGTATTCTATGTGTGTGCATAGAATAGACATGAACTTCTGAGCCAGTGGATCTTCCAGTCTTCAAGTCTGTCAGTCCAATACCATTTGAAGTGTCTTCTCATTGGGCGTATTGCACAAGGTTTTGGGGTGGGTGGTTGTTGGATACATTTTTTTCTGCAGCTATCTTTCCCCCACAAACTCCACCACACATTGCCAGGGAAGTGCCTGTGCAGTTAGTAGGATCTGCTCTAGCCATGTTTAGGGAAACCCATAACCATGTACAATCTCTCAAGGACAGGATACTGCCTGGCTCACTGGTGGGGTCCACAAAGAAAAAAAAAAATCAGAGAAAACAAATATGAAACACAAGGAAGAAAAATTCTTCAACCGCTGCAAATGTAATGAAAAGGACCTAGTACTGGGGCAAACACAGTTACAGAGCTTTTGGTGCTCTTTGACCTGAGCCTGCCTCTAAAGTCCTACTATGACCCGTTAACTGATGCGCAGAGATGACTCAGAGGGAAGGTAAGGAGCTACGTCTGAAACTTGTTTTTCAAAGCTGGAGATGCTCACATTCGAAATACCTTCTTAGTGAGGAGGACCTTCCAGCAATTGATAAATTATGAGTAGACACTGAAGAGTATGAAGCGTCAAAGTTTATCCAGATTGGGGGGAAAAGCAAAGGGAGAGAAGATTGTGCTGGGAATCAGGATTTTTCCAATGCCTGGAAGCATCATGGAATACACAATCTTGGAAAAAAATAATCTTAGAGTACCTAGCCATGGCACTATTTGGTAACCAAGGAGATTATGCAGAATGATAAAATGCATCTAACTTTTCTAAATATTAAAAATCTCTTTGGAGACCTTGAGGTTATAAAGAAGCAAAAAGCAGACAGAATATATAGCTCTTTCTTGGCTAACGCTGTATTAAACATTATTACACAAATGCTAGAATAAATCTGCTTAATTCAATATGGTTGTCCCTGACATGTCACAAAAAAAGCCCACTGCTATGAAAGGACCTCCAAGTTACACGGATACAGCCATAGGGCTCCCTGCATAATGTCCCCCTGCTCGTTTCCGCTTCCTACTTGGCACTTCCCTGATCTCTTTCCCTTTCTCTCTTCCTCCCTCCCCCTTTTGCTATCTGGGTTGTCTACTGAGCTCTTCTATAGTATCAGGCTCCATACTTCCTTTACCTGGTCACCTGCCCCAATCCTAGTACAGGGTGCCTCTCACATTCAACACTGAACTTTTTTTTTTTTTTTAATATATCTTTATTGATTTCAGCGAGAGGAAAGGAGAGGGAGAGAGAGAGAGACAGAAACATCAATGATGAGAGAGTCATTGATCGAGCCCACAACCCGGGCATGTGCCTTGACCTGGAATTGAACCCCGATTGCCTGGATCCTAGGTCGATGCTCAACCGCTGAGCCACGCCTGGCCGGGCAACATTGAACTCTTTCTTGCTTTATTTCCCAATTTCTAAATGCATGACTACTGTGTGGCTCCCACATCCTTTCCTCACCAAGAGCTCCTTCCCTCCTATTTGCTCACTGCTACTCTGCTTTCTCAAGTCCAAGGGTGGTTTTTAACTCTCCCAACTTTGACTTTGGTTTACCTTTACCATCTCTCAAAAGCTCTCAGTAGCTGCAAACAGCTTTTGCCAGCATTCCTCCAGAAGTTGGTGCTAAACAAGCATGTTTCCCTTTGGACTGCATCTACTCAAGGAGAAGGGCATATCTGGCCACCATATCTTCTGTACCTATCACACCTCTGTCCCCAACTTTTGATCAATGGGACCTGGAATAACATGCACATCCTATTTGCTCAATAAATCTTTTGTTGGACCAGTGATAGGACAGATGGGGATTAGATTATTTTAAAAGCGAGTTAAAGAGCAATTCTTACTTTCATTCTTCTTTAGTCAAAGCAGGAAGATCAGCTCTGTTAATACCAGTGGTATATCTATTTACAGTTAACATTCATATTAATAACATCATAAGGGAAGATGGATGAATTGAGAAAAATTTTTCTTTTTGAGGCATCATGCTGGGAAAAGTAACTAATATTGAAAAGAATAAAATGAATAAAAGATTAAGTAGGAAACAAAGCAGATAGAAACCAAGAAAAGTTGGCCATTTAGCTGGAATAAAAAAAAAAAAGCAGAACGCTGGGGTGTTTGTTGTTAAAACCACAAGCTACTTAATAGGCAAGAAGAGCCACCTTTTGGAATTTTATATAGCTATAGCAAAATATTAACTTAGAGCACTGGGTCAAATTCTTGACCCTATCTTATATCAAAGAGAAGGGAAAAATTAGAAACAGTTGTGCTGAAATACAACTCACGCATTCAGAGCCAGGTAAGAGATAACCCACTCCCTCCATGAGGCCTTTCTGAACCAACCCCTAAGAGAAGGAATCTTTCTCCTCTACACTCTCACGTGTCCTCATATAAATGCCATTGAAAAATTGGAAGATCTTGATAAGAAAATAAATTCACTAAGGCAATGGGGAAACAGCGCCTAAAAGGGGAAGTTTAAGACCATCAGGCTAGCTTCACCTGAACAAAAAAATATAGCGAAGTTAACTTTCAAGCCTGGATTCCCTGGTTCGTATTTCTACTCTGTGAGTTAAGCATGGTGAGTTTGTGACATATATATGGCTTCCTGTGCTTCCTGCAGGCCCCTCAGGAGCTGTGCATGAATGGAGTAGATATTCATTTCAATATCTGTCCAAGCAAGTATCATTAGGAAGACAGCCTGAGAGCACACAATGGCTTCTCAAGTCTGATATATCTGGAATATTTGCCTTTTTGGTTAATCTATTGTCATTGTTCCCCTGCCACAAGCAGTTATCCAAGAGGTGACTGGTAAAGGAGAAATGTAAGCAGCTGTTTTCAGCATTACTAAGACATGCATATGGGTTTAAGTGTCTAGTGTAGGTGACACATATAGTAGAATCTGAATGGGGGGATGTTTATTGATGGTAGAAAAATAGTTTTGGAAAATACTGGGGATGGCGAGAGAGCCACATGTGTCTGGAGCCTGTGGTCAAGTTAATGGGAAACAAAAAACGAGCAAGGCCTGGATGTAGAAAAGCTAACAGGATTACTAAAAAAGGGGGAGGAAGGAAGGGGAGCAAAGATGCTCGCTGCGGCAGACAACAGCAGGCAGAGGGGTTAAAGACAGTGACATGAGGCCCCCAAACTAGAAGAGGGCAAGTCATTAAAATCTGAGTTTTGAGTGTTCAGAAGAAACCGATATGTGCTTTCTCAGCCACTGTAGAAAGCACCTGTTTGGTGGAAGGAAAAACACTATGATTGTAAAAATATTAGAAGTGAAAAAACTGATTGCTAAGTATATCTGGAATGTAGAACCACTTTGGTTCAAAGTTAAGATGTTATGATTCTACTTTAAACTGGAAAAGCCTCGATTTAACTTGGAAAATGGCACTGACATTTTTCTTCATGACCACACGCCCCTCAGAGTTTCCTAACACAGGACACAGCTCTTATCTTCCACAGTTCCTGACAGCTACTGGCAAGCTATTCCTCCCGAAGCCTTATTCAACTGTGACTGAGACACAGAGCCGTGGGTTTATCCAGAAGCCCAAATAAAAAGACTAGTAGCAAAAAGGAACTAATCTATCTGTTTAGACAAAAATTTATTTAGACCTAATTCATATTATGTACGGGAATTGTCTCAAATACATATACCATCTTTGAAAATAGCCCAGATCAAATCTAGCTGCAGAAAGTTTCTTTAAAACTTAGTTCACAAGCTAGTATTTGGGGCATAAGTTGGGGAGAGAAAGGCATCTCCTCTCAACCCCACACCCTAAAGCTCTGAGCTCACATTAAATGGTGAATGTCAACACTTTGGCTGAACATTTGGCTCATGAGCAGCAGCATCCTCTCATCCCCACTGTTCTTAGCACAAAATTCTATGCTACACTGAAAAGGCAAACCACAAGGACCTTACTCCATTTGCTTACAGATTCACAGTTAGGCGAGTAAACATTAGCTGCCATCTGAATCCACTGGAAATGGCTTGGGGTTATCCTCTGGCTCCTTTATTCAACATTGTTCTCCTACACCCAGTGCCAGTTTTAAGGTACACAATGGGTTTATGAAATGTCATTCACAGGTTCTGGGCAACTGGGTTCAATAGGTGTGCCATTCAATTTTTATGCCAGGTAAGTCGAGTTGTTTTAAAGCCAAGAAGTTCTAACATTATGGCCTTGAGGTTTTATCACGGAGAAGGAAGCAGAAGTAGAACTCCCGCCCTAAAGGAAGGTTTGCCGAGGTCTTGGTGTAACTGTAGGCGAGTGACTATATGTATGACACAGCTTCCTTGTTACAAGGAAAGAATTCTATGACAAGAGTATTGAGTCTTGCCTTTGAATAAAACAGAATAATGAAGTCCTTTGGAAGAAGTTAATTTTAATACATAAACTGTCATTTGTTCTCACTACTGACAAGTGTAATTTTAAACAACATCCTTTTATACTTATTCTTCAGGTTAAGTGAGTGTATGAGAATGCACGTCCCTAACAGAAGCCCCTGCTACCCTGTGGACCCTGCTGAATGCTGATCCTAGACCGCATCACCTATTCATGAAATCTCTCCCTCTGCGGCACAGCGTTTGGAAATCAGGGAAAGGAAACTACAGCTTCCCAGAGAAATCACATCTTTTCTTGAGCTAGGAGCACAAGCTCCATTCCTTCCAGCTCTTGAAATTTGCATGAGAAAGTTAATCATTACCGTTTAAATCACTTGTTATAATGAATGCTTTTAAATGAATGAAGAAGACTGAGAAATTACCAAAGCTAGATTCTTAAGTGATGTGTCAACAGCCTTACCTATGAGGGTGTGAAAGACAGCGGCGATGGCACCAGCGACCACCATGCACAGGACAGCTTTGGTTCTGTCGCGCTTGCTGTTGACAAACACCAGGCCCACGTTTTTAAAGTCACTCATGGGGCCCGTGAAGAACTTCATGAGGGAATAGGCGAGCCCATAGCTGGCCAGCATCTCCACTGCGTCCTCCTTGACAGCCGCGATGCCCCGGTTCAAGGCCTGAGGGAAGACAACCCACAAACAGATTAGAACGGTCTCCTCTCCTGGGAATCACACCTCAGAAAGCAAGCACAACAGAGTATGTTCCCATGGAAACACTAAGCAGCTTATAGGGTAAACATCACTGTAATTTCATGAAAGTTATTAGTTTTCATTTCCATCCGTATTAGCTTCAGTTTGAAGTAGCTTCCGGTGGGGGAGATGCCTGTCCATTAAAGTCATAGAAGAAACCTCAACGAGCATTTTATGTTAATATCAGGAAATAATTTGAAGATGTTCTGGTTAAAAGCTTAACATGTTAAATGTTATTTGTAGGCTGAATTTGTTTAACAGCAATAGGCATTCTGGAAATGAGTCAACCACTTTAGATGGAGCAGATGATTTTTTTAAAAATGAATGTGTGTGTGTGTATACACATGCCCAAGCATGTGCATAACCTGAAATACTGTGCATGTATTAGGTAGGTATCCTTCATAGCCTAGAGTGAGTTCTAGGCTGTGAAAAAAGGTATTGAAGAAATTTATTATACCATCAATGGATGCTATTTACCTGAATCCTACTGTATTTTAACTTGAAATACATTCCTAAATTCTGTGCAGACAGATATGAAAAGAAAACCTTTAAACCATAAGTACTATTTTTTTTAATTAATTTTTTTACTTTTTAAATTTATCTTTATTGTTGAGAGTATTACAGGTATACCATTTTCCCCCCAATTGATCCCCTCCACTTCCCTCCCACCTCCTTCCCAGTCCTTCACCCCGTTATTAACTGTGTCCATTGGTTATACATATAACTTCTTTGGTTAATCTCTTCCCACCCTCCACCCCCCTTCCCTCTTTCCCCTGAAATATGATCATCTGTTACATGTGTCAATGTCTCTGGATCTATTTAGTCCATTAGATTCTTTTGTTCATTAGCTTCTTGTTAAAGAAGACCCTTCAACATTTCCTGTAGTGCTGGTCTGGTGGTGATGAACTCCTTTAGCTTTTCCTTGTCTGAGAAGCTCTTTATTTGACCTTCAATTCTAAATGATAGCTTTGCTGGGTAGAACAATCTTGGTTGTAGTTCCATGATTTTCATCACTTTGAATATTTCTTGCCACTCCCTTCTGGCCTGCAAAGCTTCTGTTGAGAAATCAGCTGACAGTCGTATGGGTGCTCCCTTGTAGGTAACTAATTGCTTTTCTCTTG